ATCTATCTATCTATCTATCTATCTATCTATCTATCTATCTATCTATCTATCTATCTATCTATCTATCTCTTTCAATCAGTCTAAACTATACTGGGAATCTGCAGTCCCATAATGTCCCCTACCTTTATTATTCATTCACAGTATCATAAAGTATTCAATATTATACCTGTTCATATAAAAAGTGGAGTGAGAAAGAGAGAGAAAGAGAAAGAACTGGAGTATCTTGAATTAATGTAAAAAACTAGGCAAAAGCATAGAAAATAATAATATGGTTGAGTTCATAAAAATGAAAAATTTTCTGCATAATATTCTCTGAACTGAAATTTACTGTCTCTAAAGGTATCACAATTTTATATTTATTTTTAGAATAGTGAACCCAGTACTGCTATGGGCATGCGAATCACTTAAGCCTTCAAACACTTACTGGAAGACTAATTTCTGTTTTGGTCTTCTCTTAGAAATCTCATGAAAATCTCATTTCTTTTTGCCCTGCCTTTAATTTATCAAATGACATTTAACAGAGCTGAAAGTACACACTAAGAACTACTTATGATTTAAATTAATTTCTGAGAGCTAAATCAAAGTTGGTATCTTCCACACAGATACTGCCAGCAATCAGAAAGTAGGTCAGTTTCCAAATCTGGTAAGCCTTTGTTTCATCTACCATTTATCTACAGCAATATCACAACTATATGAAATACAATTATGCATTAACATTATGTCAAAAAATAAATTTTAATAGTTTTGCACAATGTTAATTCTGTTGCAGTTTTAAGAAGTTGTATTTTGCTATTAAAAAGACCTATGTTCAATCACTGTATTTAAAAAAATAAAGAATCCTAAAATCAAGTATCTCATTTAATGAGGATATACAACAAAAGAGGTAACATTTCAGACTTTAAAATTAAAAATTCCATTTAATTTTCAGATAACAGTATGCTTTAAATTTTGTTGCCCAATCTGAAAGTCATACGCATATTCAGTTTTCCAAGCTACTAGAAACATACCTGAATATTCAGCCATGGCATCAGTCTCTTTTATCCATGAATAAAGTAAACCTTAATATAAAACCAGCGTCCAAGATAGAATCAGCAAAATTCACCCTCATATAAGCCTTGCGACAGCAGCAAAGAAAGATCTTTATGGCCAACTCAGCTAAACCCCGAAATTAGACCCAACTGCAAACTCTGCTGAAAAGCTATTTTTAGTGCAACCATCACAAGCTAAATGCTTTTAAGTACCCATATTGAAACCCAGTGCTGACAGCAATCAAGTTTATCCCCTCCTACTAACAAAGCATCCTGGGTAATGGATCTTTTCTGTCTCATTTAATCTCTAAACATCAGCATACCAGAAAAGCAAAATGGAACAGATTTTTAAAAAATGCATGCCTCAGCAACTAAATTCTAAGAACATCAAACCTTCTATACAAATTCAGACAAAAGTTAAGGTACAAAGCTTGTCTGTCCAATCTGGCGTCAGACAGTCATTATTACCTGATGCTGATATTCAATCATCTCATGACTTATTAAAAGAGTTTGATGTTAAGCAACTTATTTATAAACTTGCAAACAACTGATACAATTTCATGTAGAATTGCAATATGACATTATTCTTAATAAAATTTCCTTCAGTGGCAGCAATGAAAGACAACTGGTTCTAAGTCAAAGCATAGCTATCACTACAGAAGTCCAATAATACACCCATAACATTTCACAGCTTGTTAGATTTAGAGATTGCTTTGTTACTCCTCTTTGTCAAGCAAGAAAGACACATGAGGCTAAAATACCTCTTAGTTACTATATATAAACCAAGCTTTGAGAGCCCAGACTGATACTCATATGTACACTGTAACCTTAAGCTCTCTTCAGACTGCTCCTGTAAGAACCTTCTTCCTCCCTCCCTCTTTCTAACCCTCCCTCCTTTTTTTTTTTCTAAAGTGACATTAAGATTACTTCACAACTACTGAATCCTGGCTGTTGAATTCCACTCCAAATATGAAAGACTCAATAATGCTGGAAGCTCTTCTAGCTTGAATTTGGATGGTCTGTATACTGATTCCCAGAATATACTTTTATCTTACTTGCTGTTAATGCTGGTATTAACTCAGGTTAGTAGGCATTCAAATCATAACAAATAATAAACTATTTGTGCATTTGATACAAATTAATGAACTCCTAAGACATAAACTATACATTTAGCTGTAAACCCAGGAAGATATTTCAAAATATTGTACTACAAACCTTCAATTCTTGGGGATACTTTGGGCAAACTCCCCAAAACAAATTAGTGTACAGGTAGTCCTCACTTAATTACCCCAATTGGGACCAGAATTTCTGTTGCTAAGTGATGTGGTTGTAAAGCGAGATGTTATGTGATGCATCGCTTAGTGACCACAATCCCGGCACTCCTGGTTGCTGTTGTTAACCAAGAATCACAGGTTGTTAAGCAGAGAGGGTCCCAGGTAAAAAGTGCAGCGGTGCCGCAGGGTAGTGGGGGAGAAGGAAGGAATGGGCATGGAGAAGGAATGGGGTACGCAATTTGGAAAACGAGGTCTTCTGAAGTACTACGAGAACAGGGCTCCTGACATTCTCCAAATAGCACACCTGTTCTGCCTTGCATACAGTAGGGTGAGGTCAGGTGCATGTCGTCAGCAGTGGGAGGAAAATGGCGAAGGTCAGCTGGGCACAGCAGAGCCAGTGGAGCACAGGCAGTGGGGCAACTGGGGCTTTACGCAATGGTGCTGGGGTGGCTGGCCACAGTGTGGGGCTTGAGGTGGCATTTCTCAGTGGCAGTTGCAGCATTGGAGATGAAGTAGAGGCCTGGGGTTGGTGGCAGCTGGCTGCTGAAGGACCTGGGCCTCTACTTCAGGCCCAACCCCAGCGCTGTCACCATTGCATGCCACTGTGCAGGGCAGCCAAAAGGGCACAGATGGGGGGAGATAGGCAGGTGGGGGGAGCTGCAGCGCCCCTGCAGTCGTGTGGGTGGGCTGCCAAGTGCCCAAATTTTGATCACGTGACCGTGGATGCGCTGCAACAGCTGTAACTTCCAGCATGAGTTGTCAGTCCATTTTTTCAGCACTGTCATAATTTCGAACAGCCACTGAACAAATGGTCATTAAGTGAGGACTACCTGTAGTGTCCTTCCATTGCAACAAAGAGTATCAGATGAAAATGTAGTTTAATAAATGTGTACCTTAGCTCTAGAAGAGTTAAATTGTCCAGCTTTTTCAGGTCTTCTTTCAAACTATTTTGCAGTTTTTAAATTATTTGCATCTCAAGCAAATATTTCTTGAATGAAATGTTTCTTGTTCAGTCATTCATGATTTATCTCCAAACATCCCATTCCTATTACAGGAAATGACAGCTATTTAAACATCCAATCTGCACCAAACTGAGAAGCATAGTTCTTTCATTTTCCTTAAGGCTGGCCAACTATCTGTCTTCCTGCTACATTATCACAGTGGCCAGTTTTTCAACTATTGTCCTCTAATTTCTCCACTTAGTAGCAGCATGCTGATTTGCTGGCCAATTTGATAAACATGAATTCATCAGATAAATGCTCCAACTTTTTTTTTTATTTAAATTGATGTGTTTTTTTTAAGACAGCATTTATACTTCTAAATGGATAAAAGGGATAGGGGAAGATGTTAAATAGCTTACCCAATGTGTGTGGGAGGAATAACAAATATTGTTTGAATGTGAAGCTGAATATAGGTGAGAGAATACAGAGTTTTCTCTAGCCCAGAAGAATAATTCCTAATTAAAGCTGATAGTTTTTCATGGCATTTTTGATAATCACTGACATGGCAAGGAATATGCAAATACAGACAGAAATAATTAGCTAAATACTAGTCTTTCAACTATTTTGTTCCATGTACATTACAGGTAGTCCTCACTTACTGACCACAATAGGGACCGGCAACTCCATCACTAAGTGGCACAGTCATTAAGTGTAATGTCACTTACATCAGTTCTGGCTGTGGTCATTAAGCAAATCATCATGGGTCCTTAAGCGCAATGTCACATGACCATGACTTACGACTTCTTGTCAGCTTCCCCACTGAGTTTGCTTGTCAGAAGCTGGCTGTGAAGGTTGGAAATGGTGATCACCTGACTGTTGGACGCTGCAACTGTAGTAAATGCAAGCCAGTTGCCAAGTACCCAAATCGCGATCACATGACCACAGGGACGCTGTGACAGCTGCAACTTTGAAGACCAGTCGTAAGTCTCATTTTTTAGCACCATCATAACTTTGAACGGTCACTGAACAAGTGGTCAGTAAGCAAGGACTACCTGTACATTGGTCATATTAGCTTTTTGTTGCTGTTGTTTTTCCTGATCTATTCTATGGAACAAAGAGATTACAAATTAACTTTGGAAAGAAAGAATGACCCAGTAACCTCCAACTATCATTCTTTTCACTTCTTGCAACATATTTACTTTACTAACAAGAATAGTTAATAAGGGTAAGGGGCTGAGAAATCAATGAATTAAAGCAGTGTAAAAAATAGTTCTATTATCATCAATACCAGTTTACATAAAATACATGCTTTTAAAAGTTTACACTTAATTCTGAAATACAAGAAAAATTCAGAATCATATGTTAAAATTAAAACTAGAGTTAAAACAGTAATTTCAGACACAAAATATTGATACTGTGACACATTTAAGACCAAAAATATATACAGATCAGAATCATATAGTTCATTTCTGGACGGCGAACAAAGGAAGAATAGATTTGGAAGAGTAACAGTGAAGAGAGATAATGCAAATGTGAAGCTATGGTAGTCTAAGCCAGGCATTTTCAAAATTTTCCAGCTGCAAATCCTGTTAGGTTAAAAAAAAAAAAATCCAGAATCCTTAATGAAGAGGCATGCTCCAGTGAAAGAAAATTGGTGAATTCTGCCTCCCTTAGTCTGTCACAGAACCACATCAAGTTCTTAGAAACCTATAAACACAGTTAAAAAAAAAACAATCTAGGAAAAACATTACAAAAGGAGCAGGGGAGAAAAGTATTTTCTCAGTTGGTTCCCAGTTGGATACCAAACATGTGGCATGGCCTGTGGAGATGCCTGGGGTACATAGTTACCCTGTGTGAAGGAATGGTTGGATGAAGGCCATGCTCGAGGAGATAGGCATTCCCTTAGCCCTCAACAGGAGCGTGGGAAGTTTAAGAAGATGAGACTGGCACCACCC